GCTACTCTATGTGAATTCCTTGTTTGGTGCTAGGCAATTTGATCCCCTATGATCCCAAACATGACCCAATAGATTTTGTCCAAAGGTGACTAATACATGGGGTGGGGGGTCCTTTATAGATAGGTGCTTGGGCAACATCCCATATAATTTTGGTATGGGATTAAGTGTTCCCACTCCAGCACCATTGTCATGCTTGTGACATCATCAATGTTGTCATGCCTTCTTGTGCATATGTCGTGCTACCATGTGTGCATTCTGTGCTGCTATGCACAAGCCTCATGCTAACACACTAGCACGCTATGCCACTTTGTAGAGGTGTTTTACCGCCACATGTGGGTGCCAACTAACATGTGTGTGCATTGTGCCAACACACACGTGTCATGTCAACACTTGTGAGCACTGTGCTACTACATGTAGATGCCATGATACACATATAGGCACCATGCTGTCACGTATGAGCATTGTGCGAGCACATGTGATGTAGGACGGGGTAAGAATCCTTGGTCCTGATCAATGAAACTTTAGACTCAAGATGGGGCAGTTAGACCAATTCGATAAGAATGTGTGGACCCTAGACTCTAAGTCTAACCACGTAACCTAAGTACAGCCAAGCGTACCAATATGCACGATCAACCTAGGACAACTTGGGGAAACACTCGACGATGGTAAGTGTGAGGCCCTCTCTGTCCATGTCTAGGCAGACGATAGAGATGAGCTGAGAAAACTTTTCAAAAGATAATTAAACTTAAGTAACAAGGGGTACAAGGCTAACCTTTGGGGCTGCGTAGCCCGGTGGGTCGTGACGGAGTAGAGATTCGACGAAGGCAGAGACGTCCGGTGAAGATCGATGCTCAGTGTCGACGGTCGGTCCTAATCGAGAAGTCGCAATAGTCACTGTCGCAAGGCATGGCACAGTCAGCGCGGGCGTGGGCCCGCTGGTGGGCCATCAGGCAGGCTAGCAGGCGTGGGCCCAATGGTGGGCTGAAGGGCATGCTAGTGGGCGTGGGCCTGCTGGTGGGCCGTAGGGCACACTAGCAGGCGTGGGCCCGATGGTGGGCTGAAGGGCACCCTAGCGGGCATGGGCCCACTGGTGGGCCGAAAGGCACGCTAGCGGGCGCGCGCGGCAAGCCGCACGGTGGCCTTAGGGCACGCGGGCGGCGGTGCCGGGTGGGCGCGCGGGCCGCAGGAACTGGCGCGCGGGGCGCGCGCGGCGGCGGCGCTTCAGCGGGAAGGCCGAGCGTCAGCGGCGCTTCGACGGGAAGGCCGAGCGTCAGCGGCGCTTCGGCGGGAAGGCCGAGCGTCAGCGGCGCTTCGCCGGGAATGCCGAGCGTCGGCGGTTGGGTGGAGACCCAACCGTCGCCGGAAGGGTCGGCCTTCTCTGGCGGCGCCGGGAAGCGGAGCAGAGGAAGGAGACGATCCGGCCGACGATACTAGGGAGGGTTGAGCCCTCCCAGTCTAGGCGGCGCTGGAAACGGCGCGACGGCGGCGGATTGTCGGGAAACTCCGGCGGGGGCCTGTGAGGAGCTTGGACGGGATCTGGCTCGTCGGCACGGCAGCGGGGTCTCTCCCGACGTCGGCGGCAGGCAGGCGTTTGTCGGCGAACGGCCAGGGACTGGGCGGAGAGACGGATGGTGGCTCCGGCGAGTTTAGGGTAGAGTTCCGGAGGAAGAGGCGGCAGTCGAACCAGGAGTCGAGAGACTCCGGCGGAGTGCTCGGCGATGGCTCGTAGGGAGGCGACGCAAGCACCTTTCATCACGACGGCGTGACGGGGTTCCAGCAGAGGCGGCGGCGGTTACAGCGGCAACCGCGACCGTTTCGTCCGGTGACGGTGGCGAACTCCCGGGCGGCAATGAGATGGCCGGCGGCAGCAATGGTCTCAGGCAGCGGCGGGACTTCTCGGGCAGCAGCGTCACGAGGCACGAAGTCCTCGAAGGGGTATCGGCGGCCTTCCTTTTCCTCCTTCCCTCCCTATTCTAGGTCACGAGGAAGATAATTCACAACGATAATTTCTCTCAAAATATACGGCGCTCTCTTGAGGGGGGTCCTACCTCCCCTTATATGGGGGCCCACAAGTGGGCTAAGGGGAGGTGGGCCCACTTGAGGCCCTCAAGCCCATAAGCCACAAAGGCTACAAAAGGGGCTTAATAGGCCTCTTAAAGAGAGACCCAATAAGCTCCCCTAAAAGGAGAAAAGGAGGGCCCTCTTATAGTGCTTAAGTGGGCCTCAAATGAAGACCAAAATAAGCCTCAAAAGAGCCCTGAAAAGAAAGACACTTAGATCCCCCCACTAGGGTTGTAATTGGGCTTCAAAGAGAGACTCAATAAAACCCTAAAGAAAGGGAGACGCAAACAACAACACACACACATAGAATTGGGCCTGCTAACACACAAACGTGAGGCCAAACAAGTCAACGTGAAAATACAAAGGAAGATAATGGTGAGCTCGAGCTCATCGTCGTCGTGGAGGTGGAATGTTGTTATCCTAAAGGGTTAGGCCATGTAGCGAAAGCTAGGCTCCTTCATCTTCGCGTGTCGATCAAGCTGAACTTGGACAGCCAGCATCTCTTGAGCTGATGGAGATGGGTCCTGCTCGTCATCAACATGCTTGTGTCATGTCTTCTACTCTATTGTGTCAATTGTGCCCTCCTACTGAGTACACCACAATTTTGCTGTCATGAGTAATTCTTGTAGAGGGTCTTTAGCAACATTCTCCCCTTCTATAAGATCCATCATTCTTATTAGATGTTGTCAATGGTGATAGTCTCAGATCAAGTCTTCAAATTACTAGAAGTCTACATCCTTCTCTCATGTAACAGGCACCCATTGTTGTCCTGCCCACTAAATGAGGTAAAAAGTATTATAGTGGACATGGTTTTGTCTACCCTTGTCGATCACCTTGTGATCTAATATTGTTGATGCTAGGGTGAAATAGTACACTTATATTATTGGTGGAGGTTGATGTGGCCAATTTTGCTTTGAATCTTCCTCATTTACATAGTATGTTGATAAGGTTTTATTATCATTAGTTAATAATTAATTAGTAATATAGTTTTAGCCTTAACTCATGATAAATAGACTTATATTTGTGTTAAATTATGAAAAAAAAAAGTTGATTAATATGATTTTTTGGCAAATTATGTGATTTTATGTAAATTTATATAATTTTGATAATCTTATTTTTGAGATAAATGAAGGAAAAGAAAATAAAAGAAAATATAAAAAATATAAAAAGGAAGAACTTGCTAGCTAGTCGGACCTGCAAGTGGGCTGGAAGCACAATCAGGTGGAGTCTCGAGTAGGGGCTCAAGTAGCTAAGATGGACTAATAAGGGACATGTGTTAGTCACTCCCCTTCCACATCACTAGTGGCTAGGTAGGCGTGGGGCAAGGAGTGGCTGTACACACGAGAGAGAGAGAGGCTTATTAATTGTAAAATCTTGCTTTATCATATATATGCCTCAAAACTCATAAAATAACTGATGTGTGACAACTTCTAGAAGCTTTTTAATAATTTTAATACCTAAAATACCTTTTGTTTATAAGAACAAGATACCCTTATGATGTCACTTTATAAGAGTATTTGTATACTTATTTCATTCTCTCATATAGAAGGACAATTGACGAGGGTTTGAATCTTACTAGAGTCAAAACTCATATTTTTATTTGATTAAATCATAATTTTTTTGTAGATTTCTAGTGAATGATTAAGTTGTAAGAATCGCTCAATCATCTGTGAAAATCTCAATAATGTAATTTACAAAGCATCGTTACTAAAATTGATGAATGATTTTAGATGAAACGATTATGAATTCATTGAGGAAATCATCTTTCGTTGATTAACGAACAAACTATTATTGAGAAGAAGACAATTTGTTGAAAGACAAGTTGTCACCTCCTAAGAGCATATTAGATGCAATGAAGAACCTTTTCTTGTTGCGTGGACCTAAGGATGAAACTTCTTAAGAGGTGCCTCACCTTCATCTAGCTCATCTCCATTAGGTGACAGTCATTAGAGAGTTGCAAAGTCACTATTTTTCTACTCCGCCAAGTGATAAACACCAAAGATGATTCAATGACCCACTTCATTGATTTTTAAACTTTGCAAGAAGATCTAGAGATTGTCCACATCATCTGTATCCAAGAAGAGCCTTCAAGGCCATAGATATTGCATGATAATCCTCTCGAACACATAAAATTTTGACGATTGCTATTGCGAAGCTAAAACTCTGCCTTCTTACTTTAAACCTTATCTTTACTTAATTTAGTGATACTTTGTGAGATCTTAAGTTTCAAAACTTGTTTTGTTAAATTATAATTCTTCTAGATTTTATAGAACTTAATTTGACCCATTAAATAATTTGTAATTGCTTACATAAGAATTGTTAGGTGAAACTCTATTTTTGTTGGATTCATGTTCATTTGATGCTGACATCATCATAACATCACACTCTTATTCCTCTTTTTTTTGTGAATTTTAAATATATTTATATTTATAATTTAATTACAAAATCATATTCTTTTAGGAAAATTTTAAAATATCATCCAATATTATCTTACATCCTTGTGATTGACTTGAAAATTCTTCACTCTTTTTGGAATATTTTGTCAAATTATAATTGATTTATTTGTTCCGAAATATTTTTAAAAATCTAAATATTAGAATTTTCTAATTTTATAAATTTTAAATTTATGTGATTTATTATACAACTACTAAGTCACGTCATATGCCTTCATTAGAGAGATGTGGAAAACTAAGTGTACAAGAAGACAAGGTGGGAGTTAAAGTCGATAAGCTAACCACCTTACCCGAACCATGATTTGGAAAGATCCATTGGACTAAGGTATCGATCTATTATGGTGTTTTTGTTTTTAGAGGCTCTTATGGGCAAGGTAGATATAGAGTAATACCCAATCACTCATTGCGTACTTGACTTCTTGTTGATGCCAATGAACATTCTTCTTCATCATCTATGTTGCCCTTGGTAGTGCTTCTCGAGCCTCTTCAATGAGGTTGTTGCAGTTCTTGGCGAATTAGTAGGCAGCTATTAAATATCTTGGACCTTGTTATTTGATAAGTTCTAGAGCTTAGAGATTGTGGACCCATGGTCAATTCAAATGGTGAGTGTCCCATAGACAAACTATTGGATGTTGTGGATGAATTGGGTGACATCAAGTAGCTTGACCTAATTATCCTCTCGTGTTGTGATGTAGTGCTGTAAATATTCTTCTAGCATCCCATTAACTTACTCTATCTGTCCATCTATCTATGGATGTAAGGTGGTAAAAAAGTTAAGTTTACAACTAAGAAGAGTGAAGAGAGTTGACTAGAACCATCTTGTGAAGAGGGATCACAATCAGAGACAATACTGTGGGGTATCCCCACAACTTGACTATGTGTGTCAGGAAGAGCCTTGCAATCTCTTCTGCTTTACACTCGGACCATGTAGGTATAAAGATCACATATTTGAAAAACCTATTGACCACAACTAAGATGGTGTCATGGTCACCCACTCATGGGAGGCCTGTGATGAAGTCCATGGACAATGATTCTCACGGTCCCTCCAAGATGGACAGGGACTCCAATGTTCGTGCACATTCCATCATTCCATTTTCTCTTGTTGGTAGATCAAAGACAAGCAGACATATATTTCCACATCCTGCTCCATGTTGGGTCAAAAGTAGCTACTAGCAAACAAAGCATTTATTTGTTAATGTCTAGGATATCCTACATGTGGTGCATCATGATATCTTGCACTTGAAAAATGACGCATATTCTTGGGTTAGTTTGTTTTAGAAATGATGATGTCATTTGATGAGGCGGCATCGTATTCCAGCAACAGCTGTTGCACTATCATTGTCATATTACCGTGGATTCAAACCGCAACATTCATCATCCTATCAGCAAGAAGATAGTTGTGAATATTCCCTCAATTTCTTCGCCTCTATCGGCATCAAGCATCCACCGTTCGCACATTTGGACTTCAGGAAAAAGAGAATGTTCGTGACTACCCTGTTGATCTCATGTGGTTCGGTGTGTGAACGGTCAGGGAAGCCCCGAAACTTGGTTTAAATTCAATTTATTCTATTGATCCCTTCATCTTCTTCGTTGGTCAGACCCTTATTAAGGAGGCATTCTCTTCACTGGCATCGAGACGTCGTTTACATCTTGACTGGCGCCCCCTTAGAACGGAACCCCCCACCGACTCCCTACAGCCACTTGGGTGGTATAAATTGGAAACGAGATCTGACTAGTTTAGCATCGTACCAGATAAATTATAGCTCATTGAATTAAATGGTAAAATCTGCCCTCATGAGCAGCTTCCTGAATAGGCTACGGCAAATTATAGGATAGATAGGGAGTGACACGTACACGTTCAAGATAGCCCATTGTGATGGACTACATCACCCTGGGTGTTGAATTTGCTATATTTTAACATATAGTATAATGCTCACCAGATCCTCGGAACTAAAACCAAGTCATTAAAGCGACGATATGAGTAAATAGAGAAAATAATTATATAACCAACCCAATCCTTCTTTATTCTTGGTTAAGCATTTTTTCTGCAGAAAACAATCCTTAGTTTTCTTTGAAACATGGCGGAATCACGTCTTCTAGAGTTTAGAATGATATTGAGAACCTCATGCGGGTTGCGACAGTTGATTAATGATAGCCTAAATTTAAATAGCATCATCTCCGGTTAGTCAACAAAACTTGTGACGGTCAAGTTTATCTCATTTATTTTTTCCATCAAACAGCAAAAGCAGTTCTCTTCCCTGCGATATAAAGACAATGAAAACGATAGCGAACCCGATGAAACAAATATGGAAAGCCGGAGTTTGATTGGCTAGTTTTCCCCCACAATGTAATAATAGTTCAGACGTCTAACCATATGATCTAATGGAGGAGTGCTCTAACGAAAAAACAATTGGCGAATAAAAGGTAGGCTTATTGATAACTACTGGTTTCTTCTTATGATAATTGATCCGGGACTCTAGTGGGTAAGCATTTAGTCCGTAGCATCTAAAAGGGTAGGTCAACAACACTATCCTGTTATATAGAAGAAAAAACGGCACCATGTTACTAATAATAATGGCATGACGACTACTACACTAGCTTTAATTCGAGAATGAGAAAAAAAACGTACAATACCATACAGCATTATTTTATGTAAACGGTTCAGGATATCATTTGCAGTATACTTTATCAATATAGCCCCTTCTATCATGTCTGTGAACCATACTTTTTGCAAGTCCAAAGTTTCTTCTCTTCCAACAAGAGGACATCCAAATAAGCCTGCGGTGGAATGTGTCAGAATGTAGAGTCGATAAATAATCCAAACGTCCAAGGGGCTTAATAAGCGAGTATTAAAATCGGTTGTGGAAGAACAAACTTTCTGAGGCGCTCGAAGGAAAAAACCAACTGTTTTCCGTTACAAGGACCTAATGGCTGCTGGTTATATTCCCCAATATTTTCCATAGCAGGGTTCTCACCAATAGAAACCAGATACTACGACGAAATAGGTAATTGGAGACGAGGATACCGCCACCATAGTAACATCAAAATCGAATTGGATTGCTTCAAAAAAATTACACTATGAAATTATTCGTACGTGAACATACACTAAATAACGGGGCACAAGCCAATGTGAGGACTAGAAGATAACAATGAACGACTTTCCATGAGGAGCGTGCCAAACATTCAAATCCCTCCGTCGGCTCCGTATCTTGTGGGGTGATGGTAGCGGAGGAAGAGGTCAGCGAGAAAAAGATGCAGCGACCTGTTTAGCAAAAGTCAGATGAGATTAAAGAGCTCTTCGCTATTGACTTATGAATACAGATTGACGTCTACCTCTGATAGCGAAATCCATGGACACTTGCCACGACGTGTGTGGTTCCTTCCGACCCATCCTACTAGTTACTATAAATAGCATCCCTCATCACTGCTCGGCTAGCACCAACGCGCCCGCCCCCGAAGTGCCCCAACCCTCAGATTCTCAAGTCCCCCCGTGGCCCCGGGAAAGAGATGGCCACCACCTGCAAGACCCCCGTCTCGCCGGCTGCCGCTGTTCTCCTGTTTCTTATCGCAGCCGCTGCCCTTGCCCCGGCATCAGCCAGCAGAATAACGACTTACGCGGTGCCCGGCTGCAAGGGGAGAAGCTTGACTTGGAGATGTGGTGCATGCCACAACTTCGGCATCTACAATAAAGGCTACTTCTTCGACTACACTGGGGGCCAGATCGCCCTGTTCTACTACAGCACGGGCTGCCAAGGCCGCTACGAAACCCTCGCCAGGGACACCATCCGTTGCTATCTCCGCCTATATAAAAGCATCCGCCTAATATGCTAGCCGTGAGCTGTCTACCGAACTGGCTTCCAGTTAGTGCCCTGATCGTGTAGTAACGGGCCCTCATAAAAAAATCCTACGAAATAAAGGAGCTCGGGAGCCTTCTAGTGCTGAATATGCGTACTTTTTGTCATCACGAAATTACCAGGTGTTACGCGACATCCAAAGCTCTGGCATCCTCGGTACAAGGAATCCCTCTTCTTGCATTCTAACATCAAACACGCACGCACACATAAAGAGATATAGAAATTTGTCTGGATATAAATTCCACTTGAACCTTTCACTGTTCATTAAGTTCATCAGACCAACCTGACCTCGACGGAATTTAGCCTGAACTCTACTGGTTTCGTCAATCCAAGTGGCATGAAGTTACTAGTAAAGAGCTATCAAGTATGGCTATAGCTTTTACTCGTGGATGTAACAAGGATAATAAAGAGAACTTGCTACCAAAGTTGCATCGTTTAATGCTTCATTTCAGCGTAATACCTTTGGAAACATGACCCTTTTAACACACTAGAATCGAACTCACTTTTATATTACAGATCCATGCCTTTCAATAGAATAGTCGAACTCACTTTTTCATTGTATAACCACGCCATTTCAGTCTTAAATACACCGAAATAGGAAAGCTGGGAATAATGGGAGAAAGATGGAGAGGGTTCAGGATTTTACCCTACCACTTTTCACTCATAACAGTTTTCTGGAGAAGTTGATAAGGCGGGGAACTCAAGATCCACACAGCAAAAGAAACAAACGAATAAAGGGAGATTTTATTAGTAAGCAAGCAGTTTTCTGTTTTACTTCATGGAGAATAAATTAAAAAGGTACATTTATGTATATTTGAAACCAATTTGGAGATGAGTAAGCAAACACAGCACGTTATTTTGTATGATAGTCAGCTTCTATAGCATTACGACTCAAGATGGCATAAGAACTTTAGTTACGTAAACATGTGGATTATTCCGATCTCTATATTTCTTCTCACGCTACCTGTAGTTTTTGATAGAATTGTGGGAGAGCTAAATTTAATTAGAACCTCCAATCTTGCATCATTCTGGGATACTATACAACCAAAGGCCATGTTGGAGGATAAATAAAGATACAATTGAGATTTACTGTTACATCAAGTTATATTTACGTCATTTCACCGGAGGTTTTGAACTTTGAAAAGAGATACGAAGGTATCTACAGCATAAAGTGGATAACTGCAATGAAAAAATGTTCCGAGGAGCCCATTAGCAGAAAATCTGAGGACAGCCCACGAATAAGGTTCATTGCGTTGAATGTTCTGGTTCCCGTTGATCAACCATGAAGGATTTCTTCCCCGCCGTTAAAGACGTTCTTGTAGGAATTATGCCCACTAAAGTCGTAAGGAGCATAAGATCTTAGCGTTACCGGTATAATACAGATGGTATCTGCTGAGTCGGTCGCGACTCCGCGGTAGAATAGAAAACTCAACTCTTCAGGAATGCGAATATCAGCATAGTACGACGTAGGTGTAACTGACAGTGGTAGACGTGGAAAGCATTTTGCCGCTCGTGTCCCAGTCGTTTCACGGAAGTTGCCACTCGAGAATAATGTCACGGAATCAATGCCGAACTCTGTTCGATTCTCGCCCCAAACCGGCCTTGATTGCCATAAAGGCGCCAAGCAGCCTGTTCACGCCGCGGAAGACTGTTCTTCGCCAACGGGTACTGCTATTCTCTCCCGTGGAAGGCCCCGCTTCGCCTCTCCACGCTCGAATCCCCTCTTCATTTAGATGGGAAAGCCCTCCCAGCGCTTCCCCCTTTATTAGCCGATCCGAAGAGCTCGGGAGGGCACTTGCCAGCTGCCTATCGTTTTGATGGTGCTGACGATATTACAGAAGGAAATCGCGAGGTACTTCGAATATGGCATGATTTGAGCCAGTTAGAGCGTTATAATGAAGTCAATAACCCTTTAATACGGGTTGTTGCACCGGCAGATACGGACGTGAATATTTTCCGCTCTAGGCTTGTTCAAAATAGAAACCAGACACTAGGATGAAAGTAGCCAACTGGAGAAGACGGCACCGCCACCATAGTGACACCAAAATCGAATTGGATTACTTCAAAAAGATTACAAGCGGCACAAGCGGATGTGAGGACTGGAAGGTAATAATGAACGACTTTCCACGAGCAGCGTGACAAAACTTCTGATACTTGGCTCCGTATCTTCTGGATGATGGGAGTGGAGGAAAATATCAGCGAGAAAAAGATAGATATAGCGACCTACAGACGTCAAATCAGACTAACGAGTGCCCTACTATTCACGTCTATCCCTGATGCCAAAATCCGTGGACACTTGCCACGACGCCCGTACTACAAATATCAAGGATCGCGCCTGAGGGACAGCAGTGATGGTGTTAAGCCCAGTCAAATAAAGTGCGCGTAAAGATCGCCAGAAACGGAGACGCTCAGACCGATTCTCTGGCGACGACTGTTTCAAGTTCTTTACCGTTTTTCTTTACGTATTTATTTTGTTTTAATCCTGACCGTCTATCTCAGTCAAGTTATATGACTGAAATAAGAGCTACGTGGGAACATGGGTCCCACGAATTGTAACTGCCTTAACCGACCGTTACATTTCTCTCTTCTATAAAATGTAACCTTTGTGTTCGATGAAAAGAACAAGGAGAAAGGCTGCTTTGTTTTCGTTGAAAACATCCGTGCTTTGATCCTTCCTCATTCTCTCTCCAGATCCTGTGATCCTAACATTTGGTATCAGAGCTGTGTTGCAGAGAGAAGACGAAATGCCGCGCCGAGGAGATGCTACAGAAAGTGAGAGCTTGCTCGCCACGAGTCGAGCCACGAAAGGTCCTGGAGACGCCGGTTATCCTGGTACTTTTCCAATCTTTAACAAGACTAATTACCCGTTGTGGGCAATGCGTATGCAACTCTGTTTGGAAGCTCATAGCTTGTGGGATGCTATTGAGTCTAATTTGGTGGCAAGGAAGAAGGACCGGCACATTCAAACTCAGCTCGACATCACCAAGACGGCGAAAGAAACTTGGGAACTTCTCAAGTCCACGCACGTAGGAGTAGCTCGCCTCATGAAAACGAGACTTCAATCTCTCCGGCGTGAATTCGAGATGCTGCAAATGGGAGATGAAGAGAACATGACAGATTTCTCTGGGAAATTGTCTTGTCTTGTCACTCAGATCAGAAATCTGGGTGAAAAAGTGGAAGAAGGCACAGTGGGAGCAAAGCTTCTCAGAGCAACTCCTGCAAAATTTGATCCACTCACAACATCTCTTGAGCAATTTAGAGATATCGACACAATGCCTTTTGAAGAAGCTGTGGGATCTCTTAAGATCTATGAAGAGAAACTCCAAAATCGGCAAGAGCGAAAAGAACAAGTTCTTTTAACTCACAGAACTGAGAAAACAAAGGGTGGAAATCCTTGTGGTGGAGGACATGGCCAAGGTCGGGGGCGTGGCCGAGGAAGAGGATGAAGCAATGGGAGAGGCTCGGATAAAAGCTAGAAGCCTTGTGACAAATCCACAGTGAAATGCTTCAACTGTGATAAAATGGGGCATTATGCCTCTATATGCAATGTAGAGAAAAAGGAAGAAAAAGCTCACCTCGCAAAGACTGAAAAGAGACTGAGTCAATGCTTCTAATGGCTACAATTGAAGAAGTCATGTTATAAGGCACAATGGAAGCTCAGATTGAAGAAGGAATGTGGTACTTAGACACAGGTGACAGAAATCATTTGACTAGAAATCAAAACTTGTTTGGTGAACTCACTGAATCACCTAGTGGAGGGGTGAAATTCGGCGACGGTTCAAACATTGACATCTCAAGCAGAGGCAGCATTCTAGTGAGTTGTCAAGATGAAAGTAAGTTGACTCTCAGTAATGTCCTTTACGTTTCAAGGCTTAAGACCCACATACTCAGTCTCGGCCGATAAAGATGATCAAGGATTTAAATTTCAGATGGAATCCGGCTATCTCACTATCCACAATCAACATAGAAGACTTCTAGCACGAGTAAAGAAATCACACGGAAGACTTTACCCACTGAAGTAGACAATTGAAGAATATTGTCTCGTTTCAAAAGAAGCCAAAGAGATGGAATGGATTTGGCACTGGAGGTATGGCCACCTGTACTTCAACTCACTGAAGTTTCTCCCCAATATTGTATAAGGGATGCCTCCACTTCATATACCCAAGCGCATATCCCGAGACTGTGTAGCAGGTAAACATCATAGATAACCATTTCCCTCTGTTTCGTTGTTCAGGGCCAGCAGTCCACTAGAGCTGATTCATGGAGATCTTTGTGACTCAATAACGCCAATTACTTATGGAGGAAATCGATTTTTCTTCCTGGTTATAGGTGATTATTCTTGACTAATGTGGGTTGCAATTTTGAAGCAGAAACGTGAAGCTTTTCAAGCATTTGTGAGGTTCAAAACCATGGCCGAGACAGAGAAGAAAGTGAAGATTGGTACTTTCTGAACTGACAAAGGATGTGAATTTAATTCTATGGAATTTATTTCTTTCTGCTCTCAACATGGGATCAAACGTCATCTCACAGCTCCCTACTCTCCTTAGCAAAACGGGATTGTTGAGAGAGAATAAAACGATTATGGAAATAGTTCGAAGTATGATGAAAAGTAAGAATTTGCCATCTAAACTATGGGGAGAAGCCGTCAACACAAGCATTTACATCTTGAATCATTCACCTACAAAGAGCCTAAATGAAGCCACACCATACAAAGTTTGGACTAGATCTAAACCGAATGTTGCTCATCTTAGAATGTTTGAGTCATTGGCTCATGTGAAGATACTTGGTCAACACCTGACAACGCTACAAGATAGAAGCAAACCTATAATTTTCATAGGATATGACGTGGGAACTAAAGCATATAGATGTTTCGATCCTCAAGAATAGAAGGTTCACATCAGTCGAAATGTGATTTTCACAGAACATAGCCAATGGGAGTGGAATACTTCAAAGCAATCTAGTAAAGGTACACTCTACTTACCCACCTTTGTTGACTCCATTGATACAGGAGAATATTCCATTGACCAAGTCACCTCTGCACCAATACTCGACGACTTCCTTAATCAAGCACAATATATGTCTTCATCTTCTGAGGAAGCTTATCCTAGAAGATTTAGAGACATAACTCAAGTCTATAGAGATACAGAGGAGTGTAACTTAATGTTCGAGGAACCTTCCTTTTATCAAGAAGCAGCGTCACAAAGAATTTGGAGAAAAGCCATGGAAGAGGAAATTGAAGCAATCGTCAAGAACCACACATGGATTCTCACCCCATCCACTGAGGATTGCAAACCTATTGGTCTTAAATAGATATTTAAGATAAAAAATAACTCACAAGAAGAGGTAATTCGTCACAAAGCCAGGCAGGTTGCTAAAGGCTATGTTCAAAAATTGGACATTGACTATGAGGAAGTCTTTGCCCTGGTAGCAAGAATGGAGACAATTAGAGTGATAATTGCTCTTGTGGCCCAAAATGGATGAGACTTCATCATCTAGATGTCAAGTCAGCAGTTCTAAATGAATAACTTGAAGAAGAGGTCTTTGTCAAACAGCTAGAAGAATTATGTTCTGAAATTAAAAAAGACTCTTTATGGATTAAAGCAGGCACCTCGAGCATGGTATACGAAGCTAGATAAATGTCTCACCTCACTTGACTTTATAAGATGCTCTAAAGAACATGCAATGTACACAAAATTCTCTGTTAAAGCTCACTTGATAATCAGGGTGTATGTGAATGATCTCATAGTCACCGGAACCATTGAAGAATACACTTTATATTTCAAACAAACAATGATGAAGTAATTCGAGATGAGTGATCTGGCTCTACTCACCTCATATCTAGGAATTGAAGTGGAACAAGCTAGACATATGATCAGACTGAAACAAAAGAACTATGTTCTACGGTTACTTGAACAGAGTGGAATGCAAGAATGTAAGTCTGTCTCCACACCACTAGAAGCACGATTCAAGTGCAGTGAAGGAAGAAAGAGTCAATTAGTTGACTCAATAAAATTCAAGAGCATAATCAAGAGCTTGAGGTACTTAATTCATACTCGGCTTGAGCTTGAGTTATCTCAGTAGGTACATGGAAGCACCTACGATAGAGCACTTGGCAGTCTGGAAATAAATTCTCCGGTATGTTAAAGGCACTATTAATCTCGGAGTGTTATTTAAGAAGGAAAATAACTTCATTGTATCAGGATATAGTGATAGTGATCACATGGGTGACTCAACTAACCGTAAAAGTAAAACTAGGGTACTATTCTTCCTAGGATCAAATCCAATAAATTGGACTTCACAAAAGCAGAAAATTATTGCTATCTCCTCATGTGAAGCCGAATATGTGACAGCTACTGCAGCAGCATGCCAGGGAATTTGGTTGTCGAGACCCATCGGCGAATTGATGATGGTAAAACTAGCTCGAGTCGAATTATTCATTGACAATAAATCAGCGATTGCATTGTCAAATAATCCAGTTTACCACAGCAGATCGAAACACAATGATACACGGTATCATTTCATTCAATCCTGCCTCCAAAACAAACTGATTGAAGTGGCACACATCAGCACCACTGATTAGTTAGTTGACATACTCACGAAGGCATTGAGAAAAGCTGGATTTGACAAACTTTGCCAGAAATTGAGCATGTTTGAAGATAGCGGGAATACTGGGCTTAGAGGGAAGATTGATGGTGTTAAGAGTAGTCAAATAAAGTGAGCGTAAAGATCGCCGGAAATGGAGATTCTCTGACCGATTCTCCAACAACAATTGTTTCAAGATCTTTACCATTTTTCTTCAAATATTTATTTGTTTTAATCCTGACCGTCCATCTCAGTCAAGTTATAATGGCTGAGATAAGAGCTACGTGGGAACGTGGATCCCACAATGTGTAACTGCCTTAACCGACTGCTACATTTCTCTCTTCTATAAAATGTAACCTTTGTGTTCGATGAAAAGAACAAGGAGAGAGGTTGCTCTGTTTTCTTTGAAAACATCCGTGCTTTGATCCTTCCTCATTTTCTCTCCAGATCCTGTGATCCCAACAAGCAGCTCATCACCACTCGACGAGCAACCCCCATTTACGTGCCCCAATCCTCAGATTCTAGAGTCCGGCTGTGGCCTCCATGAAGGATATGGCCACCGCCAAGAAGACCCCGGTTGCCGCGGCAGCTGCCGTTGTCCTGTTGCTTATTGCAGCCGCCGCCGTTGGCCAGGCATGATTCGGCAGCCCAACGATTTATCGGGCCATGCGCTGCAGGGGTACCCTTTCCTGGGTCATGTGGTGCGTGCAACAACTACAAAGGCTCCTATTTCGACTACTATGGGGGCCAGGTCGCCAGGTTCTACTACGGCTTCAACTGCCAAGGCCCCTACATCACCGTCGCCAGGGACGCCAGCCGTTGCGTCTCCCCCTACCCATACAAAAGCATCCGCATGCCATGCCTTCCGTGAGGTGTATACTGAACTTGCTTCCAGTTAGTGATGTGATCGTTTACTAACATGCCCCCATAAATAGATCATATGCAATAAAGGAGCACGGCAGCCTTCTAGTGCTGAATAAACGTACTTTATGTCCTCACGAAATCACTAGGTTTTAAAACGGCGTCCAAAGCTTTGACATCTTCGGGAGATGAAATCACTCTTTCTTCCGAGTGGCACGCGGCTACAAGTTAAGAGCTATTAGTTAAAGTATAGCTTCTAGTTGTAGACAAAACAAGGATAATAAAGCGGATTTATTACCAAAGTCGCATCGTTCATTATTTCATTCCAGCGTAATAATGCTTCCGCAGCATGCCCCTAGAATCGAACTCAATTTTATATTGTAGAACCACGCCTTTTCATCGTTAAATGCACCGAAATAAGAAATTTGGGAAGAATATGCGAAAGATGGAGAGGGTTCAGGATTTTACCTTACCACCTTTCGTTGAGAAGAGTTTTCTGGAGAAGTTGATGAGGCGGGGAATTTAAGATCCACAAAGCAAAAGAAACAAACGAATAAAGGGGGATTTTGTTATTAAGCACTCTCTGGCTTAGTGACAATTTAAGCCACAAGCTGGTGCTGTTTAGCATCTTCTTCCAGCCAGAACTTTTCGTACTGGTTCGAGTCCATCAAGGAGTTCAGTTCATCTTCTTCCGCCAGTTCATACGGGCTATTACTAACCTAAATCAAGATAACGTGTAGTTACGTTAATAATTCACTCTCCTGTTTCCCGCACAAAAGGATAACCCCCGAGAACAATCAAATAGCCAAGTAACCATCCTCTTTGCCTTCATGAGGAATTCAATGTACACTTAACAGAGACCATTAAGGAGAGAGGAAATGAATGCACACTGTACTATCCCGATATTTAACCATTATAGAAGCCCCGGGTTCATTGTTGAGATATAAACTCCCTCTTTTGCAGAGGTTATTGTACTCTCCCTGTGTTTACTTTTCAATACTCAGCTTGTAAGGACGAGGAAGCCGGAGTTTACAAACGTAAGAATCTGCATGACGAAAAAAAAAATCAGCTTGCTGTGATGAGTCTAGTTAAGTTTCAGACATTTTCTTCATCAACAGATTGGTTCTGCAGCATCCAATTGAGACGGCTTTTGTGCCCTCTACACTTCACCCGCAAAACATGAGAGGAGTTGTGGTAAAAAGGTGGAGAAGGGTTTTCAGGCTATAGCAGTCGACGGGTGCATGGTGGTTGTTATATCCTCACTGGTCATCCGCATAAGTGCCTCTTTTCTAATGACGATGGAAGGATCATATGGAGAAATAAGAGTGACAGAAAGGTAATTCAAAGTAAGGGCGATTTTAGCAAAGCGCAGAGTTTACTATCAAATTCAAGAGTTCGAGCCTTGTGATTTGAGAGTTTCGGATATTCTGTTGAAACAAATGTGTCACATGTGAGTAATACTTAAATAGAAGAATACATGACAACGAAAGGATACCTACGTTTATGCCAAAATAAAAACTTACACGATGCAAAAAAAAATTCAGGATATCTACTTAACATGTAGAAATAGACTAAGTAAAATCTTCAAGCAGTCTACCATACAGTCCACTGGATTAAAGAAAATCCTGTGAAGGTCCTTTAAGTTCTCTAGTGAAATGATTAGCTACGTAACTAACGATCCTAGCTTTCGTATTACTTTCCTCCTCCTAGAGAGCGATCGACAACATTGTAACATGAAGACAGAAATTTTATAACTATGTCAAGCAAAGGTACATCCAAAATACATAATGTAAGAAAAAAATTAAGAATCTTGGATAAGTATAAAGGCGTTAATTATAGCTTAAATATCCAGGATTTCATACACATTTTAGTTTCAAGTTGTGTGATAATAATTGCCTGAAAGGTAACAATGATGGTTGTCATTTGGACTAATGACAGTTATAAAGGCAGTCACAAAGTACGTTTTCTTATAGCAAGAGAATGGTATTATTAATTTAATGAGAGAGAGAGAGAGAGAGACAATTTTCGATATATATAAAGATTATTCATACTAAGAAAGAGCAGATATTAATATTAAAGAATACGTTAGCACTTAATAAGAGAGAGAACTTAATATTAAAGAATATGAGAACATTTAATAAGATATAAGATGTAATATTAAAGATTAAGAGAGAACTTCAAAAGAGAGAGAATTTAGTATTAAATAAGATGAAAATTATTAATTTCAATTGCTTTGTTTTCGGATCTTTATAGGTCTGAGAAACAGGTTATTGTTCAATTAAGGTTTTTGCAAGATCAATTTAGCTTGGATCCAATATACCTGGAATATAAATACCAATAATGAAAACATTGACCTTAAATTCAGTCCCAAAAAATAAATCAAATTAAAATTAAATTCAGGCCAAAAATCAAAAAAACTTCAAATTAAATCAAGTCGAAGGATAAAATATATTTCAAATTAAATTCCGGCCCATTAATGACTTCAATTACACTTCTTTTAAACTGAAATAAAAACCAAAACAAAATAAAAAACTATTTCACACTATTATTCAATATGAAAAATTCAAACCGAGATGCCAATGTTACTATATCAGCTTAAAATGAAGCGAAAAAGTTTATGACTTTCACGTTAATATATTTTTCAAATCAATAGTTACACAAATGGCTGAAGTACACACATTTTAGCTATTAAACAGTTCAACTCAGAGCCAATAACTCAACTCGCCAGTGTGCTCTGATGACTCTTCTAAACCTTTAAAAGAAAGAGATCCAATTCCTATCATTTGACTCTATAACAACAACCGTTAAGGCCATGGCTGGCTGGGTGTTAATTCCCAGTGAGCAGCATATCATGAATTGAAAATGAAAGGTGCAGGTTAGGAAAAATTCTGTCAACTATGTGAAGAAAAAAACTTTTAACACATTACCTTCTGTGAGAGCACCCTGGCTCTACTCCCTCACACCAGGCAATTCTAGATCTTGGCTGAATAAATAGTCTTTGGACAACGATGACAATGATCAAAACTAGACTTGGAGTTAGGTGAGATCCTACACGCATCTGGAAGATTAATTCAAATACACAGTATTGAATTTTCTTGGCTCATTCACCCACATAATTATACATGGTTTACATGTCTCTGTATGCCATCTTTATCCCTTCTCGTAGGAACTGATAAAATAAATCAGCATATTTAAATAACCAGGAAATGTTAGATTAATAAGAAATACATCCGCACCAAATATTAATGTCATTAGATCTAGTTTTCTTTTAGTTTAAATTATTAGTAATCTAGAGATTGAATAAATAACTAAAAACAAGATTTATGCCGTTATGAATAAAATACTTAAAAATGAGGAGATATGAATGCTTTAAATGAGTATAGCCGATGAATTCAGTTAGTATTCTAATCATAATAAAATCTTCCATGACCACAAATAAGCTGCATAATTGCATGTTGGAATGCTCTTCACGGTGAGGCAAACACGTGAAGAAGTGAGCTCAGTGGCTTATTGGGTCAGGCAATGTTGACGAGAAAAGCCCACGGTGTCACCCCAACAACTTCCTGCTCTAGGCTGAAAGACATATACAAAAACTTGGAACATTTTAGAGAATTTAAGACGAAAGTAAAGTAAAATCTAGTGATATGCTAAGAAAGAAAAGAGTTCTGAATGACCTCATTCTTTTTAGGCTTAAAAATGGATGATAGGAAAGACTATAAAATGATGGGATTCCCTGCCTGCTGGTTCAGCTAGCGTATAATCATCTGAATTCCAATACATTTGCTTATCACGAAGGAAAGGAATCACTCGTAGTGCTAGGGCAGTTAACCATAGTGTTCGTTCACAAAAGGTTTTCCACAATTCATGAAAATCGAATATGATTCAACCAATGGTACCAGTGACCATAAGTTGAGGGCAATCCTGATTTCAGATGACCAGTAGCCACCGAAATGACTCTAGACTAAGATTCAAGCAGGATTGCCAAGGCCAAATCAAATTATTGTTTCATCAATAACTTCTTGGAAACAATACCTTCCATGGTTCATGCCATTTTCTACTGGAGTGTCCCAATAACTGTGACTTTCCTTCCTTTAAACTAACAGATGGAAACAACATCACAAGGTGTACGCAAAAAGTATCAGAAATTGCATGGTTACACAGACAATTGACAAAGATTAGGTTATGCGATAGCATGAAGGTTGTCCAGGTATTTACAGGTAACATCCCCTGGCAGATCTAAGCAGGCAATGCCCTTTCCTGTAAAAGCCACTGAATTCGTTTGTACTCCTGTCCTCAGAATCCAATAGAGGACTGAATGGAATCCTGGAAGACAGTCCGCTGGAGGGCACTAATCTCTTCTGAGTGTGCAAGTTCAACCAATTCCAACCTTTCTTCAAAATGGTAGATATGGACATTTACCCATAATTAAAGCCTTTCTCAGACTTGAGATCTTGAAACAGGAATGGAAACGTCGGCGAGCCCTCAGACTTGATTCCTTGATTGGTGTGCCTGTACAGAAAGAAAGTATGCTTCAGGGAACTCTCCAGCCTGTGCCGCTGAAAACTACAAGCCTGAACACCGTCCCATTCAGTGGATCTCCCTTCCACACAGAAACCGTGAACAAAGTAACAGAAATGCAACAGCATCCATCGCACAGCCCTTGGACTGCATCTTATCCTGTGACAGCATCCATCGCACAGCCCTTGGACTGCATCTTATCCTGTGACAGCATCCATCGCACAGCCCTTGGACTGCATCTTATCCTGTGACAGCATCCATCGCACAGCCCTTGGACTGCATCTTATCCTATGACAGCATCCATTGCACAGCCCTTGGACTGCATCTTATCGCTCAGCTCTATTGCAGACCTGAGCATCCGATGCTGGCAAAGAAAAACTATGATGGCATTATAAGAAGCCGACCTGGTATCCCAATCATCTGCAATCATGTTTCTGAACAAGTCCAATTGCAAGGAGCCCGCATACGCATGAGGCCAATCATCACCCGCTGCACGATGCCAGGAAATGGCATTGAGAGGGTAATGGAAGTGACGTCATTAGGAAGGTACCCGCCGAGCAACATATCCTTGAGGAAAACACAGCTCTTCAAGCTCGCCGGCTTTTGATGCATTGCCGATGAGGATACTGTGCGTGACGACATTCGGGACTAAACTTGCAGTACCCTTTGATCATTGCATTGCGGATGACGATGCCGTGGGGAATGCTCTTCTTTCTCAAGAGGCAGAACGGTCTTCTGGTCACCGTTCCTGACGAAACCATCGAGGAGTGCGCCATAGATGAACTCATCGGGGAGGATGTTGAAGTTCAGCATCTCTACCAGCAGGTTCCTTGCAGCGGGGATCATCCCCTTCTAGGAAAGCCGGCCCATCACGCTATCGAAGATTGCCACGTCGGGCACCACACCTCGCTCCTGATCGACAATCCTGCCTGGATCTCTCCTGATGCGATGAGCCCCCATGGATGAGGACGGTAAGGGCAACCCGGCCTCGAGGACGCCCCTTCTCCATCATTTCAACAGTAGGTTCCAGGTCGAGAGAACTCCCCCCAGAGACTGTATCTGTGCACTGAACCACAGATACAGAAAGCGTCGATAAGCATGTTGTGGGTCTCCACACCGGGCTCCATTCCCCGCCCCCTGATGTCCTGAGCAGAGCTCTGATCTCGGCAAAAGTCGGCCCTCTTAGAGAACCCTGCGATCATCGTTCCATATGGAACCAAGGTGGACAGGAATCCTTGAATGTATCTCCCTGAACAGGTTGCAGGTTTTCTCGACGTCTTCCTTCCTGCAGCAGACATCCATCAACTTGTTGTAGAAGACGGCATTTGGGACGCAACCAGTTCCCCACCTCCCCACCTCCCCTCATTCAGCTCCAGGGATTCATCCGACCTCCCTTGCTGCGGCAAGACCTTCACCATTATACCAGTGGAAACGTTATCGGCCACGCCGTATCCCTGGAGCATTTCCTCAGACATCCTCCGGGCACTCTCGTAGCGGCGACGCAGCACAAGCAAGTTGAGGAGGCCCTTCCAGGCGTTAGTCAGCGCTTTCTCTTCCTCGCCGGTGTCAGAAAATCCGGCGACGATGGCGCGGAGAGCTTCGAGGACGGAAAAACAGCGGGATTGGGCGAGGACTTCCAGGCGTTAGCCTAATATATTACAATGTTGATTTTTGGAATTTTCATAGACCTAAGGTCTTTGTTCCTATTAACTATCTAAATCTTCTTTTAATAGTCATGAAGTGTGATTTTCTAGTTTGCTTTACACTCATCAACAATTAAAGTTCTCTCTTATCATCTAATGTTTATAACCAAGTACTTGCATTCCAAGAAATTGAAATATATTATGCTTTGTTTCGTCTTCATCAATATTTAACTTATATCTAATTAAAATTCCATTCACTACATAGGATGTTTTTTTCATTACCTTAGCCTAAATGTACTGGGTAGCTTATTTTCATGTAAAATTATTTTTACAATTTTCTGTAAATTTTTAGAAGTATGTAATAATTTATTCTTCTTTATCTCAACAATTTTATTTTGTTGAGCTGTTCTTGGAGCTTAAAAGTTAATATTCTCAAATTCTCTTCCCTGCTCATTCCTAATCTTCTAGAGCATTGTTCTAAATTATTTTCAACTTTCCTTATAAATTTTAAGTAGTATTTTAATATTCAGTCTTAGCTATTAAGATGAAATAATCAAGAATATTTAGAATAATCATCACTATAATTAAACCATTAAATTTTTCTCATAAGATGAAAATTTTATTTACATCAAGTAATCTAAATGAATCATGTGTAAAGATTTAGTCGAAAAGATATGTTCTTTGGTGGTGATTGTTTGTACTAGTTTGTTTCCCTTGCATCCAACTGTAAAATTAAATTTGTCTATCTCTATTAGTTTCGGTAGTCATTTGATTAAATGAATTTCTGATGCCAACAAAGGCTTTCTTTGTTATTTTATTCATTATAACTGTGTGATATATGTGTGGTCTGCCCATTTCTTTAAGATCTAAACTATGAATATTATTTACTCTAATCACTAGTAAAGAGTAGGTTACTATTTGAATCATTAAATAGTAATTTAATGTGATCATCACGAATGGACTTACATTATCAACAAGTAAAATATTTTTAACGAAGGTATGATCTTTGGAAGAAATATTTTCATGCTAAAATATATTTCCCTTTGTAATGCCTCCAAATCTTATCTCTCTTCTGTCCATTTATTTGAATAAAGAAAGTTATCCTTAATTTTAACAAAAACACTCATCCTTGATCTCTATTATCCAAATACAACTACGATGTAGTTTCACTATAGTTGTTTTTGAAAATATTATTTCAATTTTTATTTTAGGAACCAAAAATTATTTTTCATTTAACTATCTCCTTGAATACCAATACGTGACTTATTTTGGTGTTAAATTCAATTGTAACATGTATTTTAGTTGATCTAAGGTTAAATTATAATCAGTTATTCCCTATGCAATATTTTTAACTTCTAAATTACATATGTAATTTCTTCTCAACACCACATGATTTATTATAGAATGTAACTCATTATTGGATCAGATGAATACCTTCTAGATCTTTGGTCCTTGGCCAGTTCAATACTTTCTATTTTATTTCAAACAGTTTTACTTTATATTAGTGAACCATTAAACTGTTGAAGTTCATTGACCGTAGGTACAGAAGATTCTTCAAGAAATCTTTCTTGGTCTCTCTCAGTTTCTTTAACATTTTCAAGTTGTCTTGGATTTTCCTAAATTTTTCTGTAGACATGTATTTTGCCGCTCGTGTCTCACATAATCCTGTCGTTTCACGGAAGTTGCCGCTCGAGAATAATCAATGCCGAACTCTCTTCGATTCTCACCCGGGCCGGCCTTGATCGCCTTTGAAGGCGCCGAGCAGGCTCTTCACGCCGCGGAAGACTGTTCTTCGCCAATGGGTACTGCTATTCTCTCCCCTGGAAGGCCCCACTTCGCCTCTCCACGCTCGAATCCCGTCTTCATTTAGATGGGAGAGGCCTCCCAGCGCTTCCCCGTTTATCCGCCGATTCGTTGCTTGATCAGCAGGTCTTCAGCGTATCCGCTCAACCAACTGCTAGCGGTGCGGATCCACTCCACACGAAAGGAACAGAAGAGCTTGGGAGGGGGTCACAAACGAGCTCGGAAGGGTAAGTAACAGCCAGCTGCCTATCGTTTCGATGGCGTTGGCGATATTACAGAAGGAAATCCTGAGGTACGTCGAATATGTCATGATTTGAGCCAGTTAGAAAGTTATAATGAAGTTAATAATCCTTTAATATGGGTGGTTGCACCGGCATCGACTGTTGCTGCTTATTTATTGCCCATAAGTTTCTGTACCATTTATCGCAGTTACGGACGTCAAAGATTTTCACTACTATAAGAAACAGGAGACTAGGACGAAAATAGGTAACTGGAGACGGGGACACCACCGCCATAGTAACCTCAGAGTCGAATAGCACTACTAAAAAACTTGAACGTACTCAAAATAGGAGGGCACAAGCAGATGTGGGGACTGGAAGGGAATAATGAACGACTTTCCACGAGCAGCGTGACAGACATTTCAATCCTTCCTTGGGCTCCGCATCTTCTGGGTGATGGGAACGGACGAAAAGGTCAGCGAGAAAATGATACAATGACCTGTTCGCCAAACGTTAAATGAGACTAACGAGTGCCCTACTATTCACGTCTACCCCTGATGGCGAAATCCGTCGACACTTTCAACGATTCGCGTACTATAAACAGCACGGATCAGGCACAGGGGACAGCAGCTCATCATCCTCGACGAGCAACCCCTCCTGACGTGCCCCGATCCTCAGATTCTCGAGTCCGGCCGTGGCTCCGTGAAGGATATGGCGACCGCCAGGAAGAGCCCGGTCACCGCGGCAGCTGCCGTTCTCCTGTTGCTTATCGTAGCCGCCGCCGTTGGCCCGGCGTCAGCCAGCACCCTAACGCTTTACGGCTTGCTCGGCTGCAGGCGACCCATACCTGGGCGATGTGGTGTGTGCTACAACATAGGCCCCCTCTACAAAGGCTACTTCTTCAACTACTTCGGGGGCCAGTGCGGCAGGTTCTACTACGGGTTCAACTGCCAAGGCCGCTACGACGTCATCTGCCGGAGCATCCGCTGCTGCCAGACCCCCTGCCGATATAAAAGCGTTTTTATACCATGCTAGCCCTGAGGTGTCTACGGAACTGGCTTCCGGTTAGTGCTCTACTCGTGTACTAATGGGCCCCCATAAATAAATCCTATAAAATAAAGGAGCACGGCAGCCTTCTTTTGCTGAATAAACGTACTTTCTGTCCAAACGAAATCACTAGGTGTCAACGCGACATCCAAAGCTTTGGGATCGTCTTCGGTACAGGAAATCACTCTTTCTTCTTCGATTCTAAGGGGAATCCCGTCCAATCATTCTGTCCCATCTCAAACACACACGTAAAGAGATACAGATATTTGCCCAGGGTTTTCACGGCAGAAGATACTTTTTCTATTTCCTTGACAGGGTTTTCTATTCGTTCCTGTTGGATTAACAAGTGGGGCAAGATCACCGTGAAAAAAGATAGACCCAATATTTAACCATTATAGAAGCCCCAGGTTTATTGTGTTATCGCATGTGAAGAATATTTAAACAAGATCACATACAAATTATGAGAGCAGGAGGATACCTACATCAATGCCCAAGTAAAAAGTTAAACGATGCAAACAAATATCGAAGGATATCTACTTAACGTATTGATGTAGACCAAGTAATATCTGTAGGCAATATAGCATACAGTCCACTGAATGAAAGAAAACGTTATGAAGGACCATTCAGTTCTCTGGTGAAGCGATCAGCGTCTGTCACTAACCAAGGTAGCTTTCATTTTACTTTCCTCGTAGAGAGTGATTGGCAACAGTGTAATATGAAGACAGAAATTTAATACTTAAATCAGCCAAAGGTACATTCAAAATACCATATTTCAGAAATAAATTAAAAATCCTGAATATATACAAAGGCATTAACTATCGCATTAAATATTCGGGATTTTGTTCAAGTTTTAGTCAATAAGTCATGCAATAATAATGGTCTGGGACGAGTGGCAGTTGCAAACGAAGTCACAATGTCAACGTTTTTTTTCGTAGCTAGGGAGAGAGATACTATTAATTTAATAAGAAAGAGAGATATATGAAAATTAATATAACGATAATCCGTATTGAGAAAGAAAGATATTCATACTAAAGGATAAGACAGCACTGAATAAGAGGGAAAATATAATATTAAAGAATACGAGATAAATAATTTAGTAATAGAAAACAAGACAGCATTTAAAAAGAGGGATAATTTAATATTCAATAATACGGTGGTTATTTATTTCGGGCGCTTTATTTTCGAATGTTTATGGGCTCGAGAAATAGGCTATTGTTCAGTAATAACTTTGATGAGACTCATTTACCTTGGATCCAATACGCCTAAAAAATAAGGCCCAATAATCAAATAAGTTCACATTAAATTCAGGCCCGAAAATGAAATCCATTTAAACTTCAATACAGACCAATAATAAAATCTTTTTGAACTTCAATCAGCCCAACAATAAAATCAATTTCAAATTTAATTCAGACCCAATAATTACATCAATTACATTTCTGTTAAACGGAAATAAACCAAGACAAAATACAAAAATAATCCACACTATTATTCAATATGAAATATTCAAATCTTAATGCCTAAATTATTATATCATCTTAAAATTAAATAGTGATAGATATTGATGATTTTCATATTAATATACTTTTCAAATCAATACTTAAACTAAAGACTAAAGTACAACCAGTTTAGCTATTTAACTGCTGAACTAAGAGCCGGAAACGGAATTCTCCTCCGTGCTCTTATGACTCTTCTGAATCTTTAAAAATAGATCTAATTCATCTCCTTTGAATCCATTACAATAACGCTTGAGGCTATGGCTTGCCTGCTGTTGCCTCGTGAGTAGTATATCATGAACTGAAAATGAAAGGTACATGCTGGGAAAAATTCTGTCAACTCCATGAAGAGAAAAACTTTAAGCACGTTACCTTCTCTGAGAGCACCCCCGGCTCTCATCCTTCCTCACATCAGGTAATTCTGGATCTTCGCAGAAAAAATAATCTTCAGGTGATGATGCCAACAATCTAAAGTCCCATCCTCAAAGCAATATGACAGCACATCAATATTTATATCCGCAGATTTTAGGGGGCAGGAGATTTAGATATGGAGTCCGGTGAGGTCATACATGCATCATGAAGATTAAAGTAAAATAAATTTATCGAATTTATCAGGTTCATTCGCCCACATAAATTTTACATGGTTCACAGGTCGCTGTAGGCCGTTGACGTCCCTCCTGTAGAAAACTTATAAAATAAATCAGCACAATTAAATAACCTTCAAATACCTAATTAATAAGAAATACATGCACGCCAACGTACTAAAGTCATTGGATCTAGTATTCTTTTATTTTAGATAATTAGTTATTTATAGATTGAATAAATAATTAAACGTAAGGTTTTATGGACGTTATGACCAAAACTTTTAAAATGAGGAAAAATGAATGTTTTGCAAGAGTGTAGCAGATGAATTTAGTTAGAATTTTAATCATAATAAAAACTTCTAGGGTTACAAATGTGTTACATAACTACAAGCTGGAACGCCCTTCACGGTGAAACAAGCGCGTGGAGGAGAGAGCTCAGTTGCATATTCAAGCAAGAAATTCTGACAAGTAAAATGGCCAATGTGTCACCTCAACATCCCCCTGCTCTAGGTTGAAACACAAATAGAGAAGCCCAGGAAATTTTAGAAAGTATAAGATCCAAGTGAAGTATGTATAAGAGCATTTGCCGTAAGGCATAATCCTGGAGCCCAATCTGTTTTTAGGGTTTGGAGTGCTGGTCTTCAACGACGTCAATCTTATGATATGCGGAGAAAGAAAAGAGTCCAAAATGACTCTCTCTTTGGTTTTAGGGTTCAAAATGGTAGATACGAAAGACTATAAATGGTGGGCTTCCTTGCCTCCAGTTTTAGCCGCCGCTTAATGATGTGTATTCTAGCACATTTTCTTATCAAGAAAGGAAAGGTATCATTCATTGAGCTATGGCGGTTAACCCAGGGTTCTATCAGAAAAGTTTTAAGTCAAATCAGGAAAACAGAATACAAATCGACAGCTGCTACTTGATGAAGAGCAATCCTGATATGGATGAAGAGGCACTTTCCTACTACTTGATGGCAGTCGCTGAAAAACTATCAAGTTAGATACAAGAGATTCTCCGTCAACAAGAATTGCCAAAGCTAAATTGAATCATTGTTCCATCAATAACTCCTTGGCAACAATATCTTCTATGGTTCATGCCACTTTTTACCATAACGCCTCAATAACAGTGAGTTCCTTCCTATTAACACACAGATGGAAATAAAATCACAAGGTGTACGCAAAAAGTGTCAGAAATTACCTGGTTAGACATGCAATTGACAAAGATTAGGTTATGAGATACCACAAAGGTTGTTCAAGCACTTATAGGTAACATCGCCTGGCAGATCTAAGCATGCGATATCAAAACGGGGAAATGCCCTGTCCTGTATGACCCTCTGAACTCCGCTTGTATTCCAGTCCTCACGATCCAATTGAGGACCTAATGAAAATCTGGGAGACAAAGTCCCCTGGAGTGCACCATTCTCTTCTGAGTGTGCAAGTTCAACCAATTTCAACCCTTCTACAATGTGGTAAGTATGGTCATTGGCCCATATTTCAACCCTTTCTCAGACTTGAGATGTTCAAGCAGATGCTGCTGAAAATTAAAAGCAAGAACACCATCCACACAAAAACCATGAAGAAGAGAAATGTGACAGCATCCATCACACAGCCCTTGGCCTGCATCTTATCCCTCAGTGCAGACTTGAGCATCCGATGCTGGCAGAGAAACGAAGTGATGGAATTATAAGCAGCCAACCAGGGATCCCAACCATCTGCAATCATGCTTCTGAGCTTCTCAAACAGCGAGCCCATGTGCCCATAACGCCCATTTTCACCGACAGTTGAAAGGCAGGAAGCAGCATGGACAAGCCCCATTGAGAAGGTAATAGAAGGCTAATCTTCACGATTCCGGTGGAGACTCAAACTTATTTCAGGTAATGGTGGTCTGTTATAAGGCGTCGACATTTCTGTTGTGTTCCCTAAGTTGACCATCTCTAGTTCTTCCATTAGGTCCTAAGCCTTGACGACCCGACAGCTTCTGTTCCTCTTCACTCTGTTCCGGTGATAACAGGCCAACCATCCCATTTCACAATTCTGAGCCGCTGTCAGTTGACAGGTTAACAGTCCCAAAGAGACCATTTGGGCCGCTCCTCAGGGATCTCTTACCATGTGAGAGGGGCGTAGTGGCTAGTACCCCAACAAGAAGCAGAATAGTCTTCTTGCCTCAGTGAGGTCACTGATCCTGACAAACCAATCGAGGAGAGCGGCATAGATGAACTCATCCGGGAGGATGTTGAGGTTCAACATCTCTACCAGCTGATCCCTTGCAGCAGGGACCATCCTCTTCGTGCAGAGTCCACTGACCAACTGCGTTGGGTGCCATGCCTCAATCCATCATCTTCCCCCTGATCGACATTCCCACCTGAATCTTTCCTAAATTAACAAGCCCATGGCTGAGAGCACAGCAGCCAACCTGATCTGGAGGATGCCCCTGATCTTCATTTAGATGGGAGAGGCCTCCCAGCGCTTCCACCTTTATCCTCCGATCCGTTGCTTTATCCGCAGGTCTTCAGCCTATCCGCCCAATCAACTCTAGCGATGCGGATCGCTCCAAAACAAAGGATCTGAAGAGCTTGGGAGGGGGCCACAAACAAGCTCAAAACGGTAAGTGACAGCCAGCTGCCTATCGTTTCGATGGCGTTGACGATATACGGAAGGAAATCGCGAGGTACTTCGAATATGGCATGATTTGAGCCAGTTAGAAAGTTATAATGAAGTCAATAACCGTTAAATAGGGTTGTTGCACCCGCATCGACTGTTGCTGCTTATTTATTGCCCATAAGTTTCTGTACCATTTATCGCAGTTACGGACGTCAAAGATTTTCCCTACTATATGAAACAAGAGACTAGGACGAAAATAGGTAACTGGAGACGAGGACGCCACCACCATAGTAACCTCAGAATCGAATCGCATTACTTCTAAGAATATTACACTATGAAATTGTCCGTACTTGAACGTACCAAAAATAGGAGGGCACAAGCAGATGTGAGGACTGGAAGGGAACAATGAACGACTTTCCACGAGCAGCGTGACAAACATTTCAGTCCTTCCTTGGGCTCCGTATCTTCTGGGTGATGGGAGCGGACGAAAAGGTCAGCGAGAAAATGATACAATGACCTGTTCGCCAAACGTTCAATGAGACTAACGAGTGCCCTACTATTCACGTCTACCCCTGATGGCGAAATCCGTTGACACTTTCAACTACGCGCGAACTATAAATAGCACGGATCGAGCACGGGGGGACAGCTGCTCATCACCGCTCGACGAGCAATCCCGCCTGACGTTCCCCAATCCACAGATTCTTGAGTCCGGCCGTGGCCTCGTGAAGGATATGGCCACCGCCAGGAAGACCCCGGTCGCCGCGACAGCTGCCGTTCTCCTGTTGCTTATCGCAGCCGCTGCCCTTGCCCCGGCGTCAGCCAGCAGGCTAACGATTTACCGGTCGCTGGGCTGCAGGCGACCACTGGCTGGGCTATGTAGTGTGTGCTACAGTTTCGGCCCCGTCTTCAAAGGCTACTTCTTCAACTACTTCGGGGGCCAAGTCGCCAGGTTCTACCCTCGGTTCGACTGCAAAGGCCCCTACATCACCGTCGCCAGCAACGCCCGCCGTTGCTACCCACCCTTCCTATATAGAAGCATCCGCATGCCATGCCTTACTTGAGCTATCTACGGAACTGGCTTCCGATTGATACTCTGATCGTGTACTAACGGACCCCCATAAATAAATAGTATAAAATAAAGGATCACTGCAGCCTTCTTGTTCTGAATAAACGTACTTTCTGTCCTCACAAAATCACTAGGTGTCTACGCGACATCCAAGGCTTTGGCATCGTCTTCGGTACAGGAAATCACTTTTTGTTCTTCGATTCTAAGGGCTACTCTGAGTAATCCAGTCCAAGCATTCTGTCCCATCTCAAACATGCGTACACACGTAAAGGGCTACAGATATTTGCCTGGATATACATTTCCATGCGATCTTTCCTGTAATCGTCGTTAATGCCATTAACTTCATTAAGGCAACCTGAAGAGAAATTCACTGTACAATTAGGAATGACCAATAAAGAGAAAGGAAAAGAATACACGTTTCACCTGACCAAGGAGAATTAACGAATATATGAATTATTACAGAGCAACTGTGGCAAAAGATACGTTTTCTATTTTCCTTGACAGGGTTTTCTATTCGTTACTGTGGGATTAAATAAGGGGGACAAGATCACAACACAAAAAGATAGACGGCTTCTTGTGTTATCCTAATATTTAACCATTATATGAGCCCCGGGTTTATTGTGTTATCGCATGTGAAGGATATTTCAACAAGAGGACATACAATACATGAGAGCAGGAGGATACCTACATCTATGCCCGACTAAAAATTTAAACGATGCAAAAGAATATTGAAGAATGTCTATTAATATTTTGAAATAGATCAAGTAAAATCTGTAGGTAATCTATCATACGGTCCTCTGAGTCAAAGAAAACCTTGTGAAGATCCATTTAGTTCTCTAGTCAATGATTAGCTTCTGTTACTGACCATCGCAGCTTTCGTTTTACTTTCCTTGTGGAGAGTGATGGACAACATTCTAATATGAAGACAGAAATTTTATAACTAAATCAAGCAAAGGTACACTGAAAACATCATATTTAAGAAATAGACAAATAATCTTGGATACATTCAAAGGCATTAACTGTAGCATAAAATATTCTGAATTTTGTACAAGTTTTAGTTTCAAGTCAAGCGATAATAATTGCCAGGGACTGGTGGCAGTTGCAAACAATGTAACAATTTCCACACTTATTTTTGTAGCTAGCGAGAGAGAGAGAGAGAGAGAGAGATTATTAATTTAATAAGAGAGAGAGATATATAAAAATTAATATAACAATAATCCGTATTGAGAAAGAAAGATATCCATACTAAAGAATAAGACAGCACAGAATAAGAGGGAGAATTTAATATTAAAGAATATGAGACATTGAATTTAGTAACAGAGAACAAGAGAGCATTTAAAAAGAGGGTGAATTTAATAGTAAATAATACAGTAGTTGCTTATTTACGGATCTTTATGGACCCGAGAAATAAATTGTTCAGTAATTATTTTAATGACACCCATTTACCGTGGATCCAGTACGACTAAAATATAAGGCCCAATAATCAAAAAAAATCAGGCCCGAAATGAAATCCATTTAAACTTGAATCCAGGCCAATACAAAAATCAATATTAAAATAAATTTCAGTTAAAATCTTGGCCCAGTAATTACATCAATTACATTTCTTTTGAACTGGAATAAATCCAGACAAAAGACAAAAATATTACACACTATTATTCAACATGAAATATTCAAATCATAATGCCTAAATTATTATATCATATCAATATATTTTCGAATCAATTCTTAAAGAAAGGAATAAAATACACCCATTTCTGCTATTTAACCACCCAACTCAGTGCTAGCAACTCAATTCTTCTGCGTGCTCAAATGCCCCTTCTAAATCTTTAGAAAGAGATCCAATTCATCTCCATTGAATCCACATTAGGCATTTAACTGTCGAGGATATGGTCGGCTTGTTGCTACTGCCCAGTGAGTAGTATATAATTAACTGAAAATGAAAGTTACAAGTTACGAAAAATTCTGTCGATTCTGTGAAGAGAAAAACTTTCAGGACATTACCTTCTGCGAGAGCACCCCGTAATCTAATCCTTCCTCACATCAGGCATTTCTGGATCTTGGCAGAATAAATAGTCTTCGGGTGACGATGCCAACAATCTAAATGCCCATCCCTCAAAGCAATATGACAGGACATCAATATTTATCTCTACAGATTGTAGGGGGAAGAGGACTAGATGTGAAATCCGGGATGATCATACATGCATCATGAAGATTAATTCAAATACATAGTATCGAATTGCTCAGGCTCATTCACTGACATAATTATACATGGTTCACAGGTCGCTGTAGACCATTAATGTCCCTTCTGGAGGCAGCTCATGAAATAAATCAGCAGAATTAAATAACCCTCAAATAACTGTATGATGACGTATTAAAGTCACTGGATCTAGTATTCTTTTATTTAACATTATTAGTTATTTATAGACTTAAAAAATAATTAAAATGAGCAAATAAGAATGTTTTGCTCATCATGGTGTCAAAAGGCGAGCAAGCAGTTCAGGCTAGTCAAAAGGCCATGGTGTCAACTCATCATCTTCCTGCCCTAGGCTGAAAGACTAATAGAGAAGCCTGGGATAATCTAGAAAATATGAGATGCAATTGAAGAATGTACCAAAAGCATTTGCCCCAAGACATAAACCGAGAGTCCTACCTGTTCTCTGGGTTGTGAGGAGTACGGATTTTCAAGGACGTTAATCTTATGATATGCTGGGAAAGAAAAGAGCCCAAAATGGGACGCCTTTTTGGTTTTAGGCATCAAAATATATGATAGGAAAGACTATAAAATGATTTGATTCACTGCCTTCAGGTTCAGCTACCATTTAATAATGCTTATTTCACCACATTTTCTTCTCATGAAAGGAAAGGTATCATCCATAGTGCTATGGTGATTAACCCTGGGCTTCTATCACAAACACTATCGAGCGAGGTTCAAGAGGTCTTCCTTCAACAAGGATTGCCTAGGCCATTGCTCATGCCATTGTTTACTGTAGTGTCTCTATTAACAGTGAGTTCCTTACTATTAAGCCACAGATTGAATCAATATCACAAGGTGTACGCCAAAAATATCAGAAATTACATCGTTAGACTGACAATTGACAAAAATTAGGTTATGCGATGGCACGAAGGTTGTCCAAGCACTTACAGGTAACATTTCCTGGCAGATCTAAGCATGTGGGATCAAATCTGGGAAATGCCATTTCCTGTAAGAGCCCCTGAACTCAGCTTGTATTCCAGTCCTCAGCATCCAATAGAAGACTTAATGGAAACCTGGTACACAGAGACCCCTGGAGTGCACCAATCTCTTCTCAGTGTGCAAATTCAACAAATTCCAACCCTTCTTCAAAACGGTAAGTATGGGCATTTACCCATAATTCAACCCTTTCTCAGACTTGAGATCTTCAAACAAGGATGAGAAAATCGCCGAGGCCTCAGACTTGATTCCCTGATTGGTGTGCCTGTCCAGCAAGAGAGTATACTTCAGGGAAATCTCCAGCTCTTGCCGTTGAAAATTACAACCAAGAACACCACCCCATTCACTAGATCTCCCTTCCACACAAAAACCATGAAGAAGGAAGAGAAATGTGACAGCATCCATCGCACATCCCTTGGCCTGCATCTTATCCCTCAGCTCCAGTGCAGACTTGAGCATCCGATGCTGGCAGAGAAACAAAATGATGGAATTATAAGCAGCCAACCAGGGATCATAACCATCTGCAATCATGCTTCTGAACATCTCCAACAGCAAGGAGCCCTCATACCCATGAAGCCCATCTTCATCCACTGCATGAAGGTGGGGAACGGCATGGACAAGCCCATTGAGAAGGTAATGGAAGGTCACATCATTAGGACAGCACCTGTCAAGCAGCATTTCCTTGAAGAAAACAGCAGCTCTTTCAAGCTCGCCAGCTTTGCATGCATTGCCGATAAGGATACTATGTGTCACAACATTTGGGACCAGACCGACTGATCGCATGCCCCTGATAAGTTGCTGGGCTCTCTCAAAATTTCCTTCCCCGGAGAACCCATTGATCAGGGCCGAGTAGGTGATAACATTGGGTCTGCATCTCTGCCTCTTCATCTCAGTAAAGACTCTCAGAGCTGCATTCATATCATGCTGTTTCACATAGCCATCAATGAGTGTCGTATAGGTGAATCCATCAGGTTGCATCCCTTTCTTCTTCAACTCATCAGCGCATAAGATCGCCTCGCTCATCAACCCAAACCTGCAGTACCCTTTGATCATTGCATTGTAGACGACAACGCCGTGGGGAATGCTCTTTTCACCCAAGAAGCAGAACAGTCTTCTTGCCTCGGACAGGTCACCATTCCTGATGAACCCGTCAAGGAGGGTGGCATAGATGAACTCATCTGGGAGGATGTTGAGGTTCAGCATCTCCACCAGCAGATCCCTTGCAGCAGGGACCATCCCCTTCTTGTAGAGCCCACTGATCAGAGTATTGAAGATTGCCGCATCAGGCACCACACCTCGCTCCATCATCTTCCCCCTGATCGACAATGCTGCTTGGATCTCTCCTGAATTAACGAGCCCATGGATGAGTGCGCCACATGCAACCCGGTCTGGAGGATGCCCCTTTTCCATCATTTCCAAGAGTAGGTTGGAGGCCGTGAGGACCTTCCCCTGGAGACTGTACCTGTGAATAAGGGGGGTGTAGCTCACGACTGTCAATGTGAGCCCCCTTCTTTCTGCCTCCCTCAGTATCCGCTCTGCCTCCCTGGCTCTGCCACTGTGGCATAAGCCCCAGATGATGGAATTATAGGTCACGGCATCAGGGGGGCAGCTGACAGCAATCATCTGCTTGAGGACGGCTTTCGCTCCTTGCACTGAACCACGCTTACAGCAAGCGTCAATGAGCATGTTGTACATCTCCACATTGGGCTCCATTCCACGCCTCCCCATGTCCAGAAACAGAGCTCTGATCTCCGCAAAGTCGCCCCTCTTGCAGAGCCCTGCGATCATTGTTCCATATGAAACCAAGGTGGGCAGGAATCCCTTGGATTGCATCTCTCTGAATAAGCTGCGGGCTTTATCGACATCTCCCTTCTTGCAGCAGCCGTCCATTAATTTGTTGTAGAACACGGCATTTGGGACGCAGCCAGGACCCCACCTCCCCTCGATCAGTTCCAGGGCTTCCTCAGTCCTCCCTTGCTCGCACAGGCTCTTCACCATTATACCAGTGGAGAAGTTATCCGCTACGCCGTATCCTTGGAACATTTCGTCGTACACCTTCCGGGCAGTCTCGTAGCGGCGGCGCCGCACGAGCATGCGGAGAAGGCGGTTGCAGGCGTCGGTCCCGGGGAGGGCATTCTGAAGCTCCTTTGCCATGGAGTAGAATCGCAAGGCTTTCTCTTCCTCGCCCGCGTCGGAGTATCCGGCGACGATGGCGCCGAGGGCTTCGAGAGCGGGCGTCGACCCTTCATCCGCCATGATCTCCAGCACAGCCTCGAGGTCGGGAAATCGGCGGCATTGAGCGAGGACTTTCAGAAGGGCTGCGTAGGAGGACGGACCCGCCGCCGCCTGCGCGCCGCCGCCCCGACGGCGGACCCAGCCGAAGAAGGCGACGGCCAAGTCGGGGTCATGGAGCCAGCGGATGACGAGAGGAGCGGCGGCCTCCACCGCCCCTTCGCCAGCAGCTTCCTCGCCGTCCTCTTCATCCTCCGCCTTTGAAGCGATTCCTTCGAGGGTCTCCTCCCACCGGGGATTGCTCCGCTGTGCTCGCAGGGCCTTGACGAACAGGTCGGCGAGTCGGCAGGTGCGGCGCGGAGGAGAGGAACGAGAGGGCGTCTTGACCCGGGACAGAAGACGCAAGGCCTTTGACATGAGGGTAAACGATCGCAGCGGCGACGGCGGCAGAATGGGCAGCCGGGTCCATCACCCAGAGAGTTTCTAGCTTGGCAAGGAGGCGACGCTCTCCCTCCCCCCCACGACCCGCGAGCTACGGGGGTCCGAAGGGAACCGACGGCGCCAATGGAGGCGACCCTTTCGTCTGTCGAAAGTTGGGGTCTTTTGCGGTTTCACCGATGCCTGCATCCCTTGAATCGCAGCAGTGGAAGCTAAAAAAGTGAGTATTTTGTTTCACACAGAACTCCCTAAAGACATACTTTTGGACATATACCGAGCAGTTCTGATTGTCTTGCCGCTGTATTAGTACAATGATAACTAATCACGTTATAAAATCATTGTTAACCTAGAAGAAGAGATGTAGACTGACAGATTTAGGGTTTCAAAAATGGATTCATAGATTAAGTATGAAATCTACGAGTTTAACTCATATCATTGTCATATTAAATTTCAAAAGAAAATATTGAACTCACGAGTACTAACTTTGGGATCTATTTGAGTGCTATCCCTCTATAATGCATATATTATTGAAGTTTTCGGTTCTCTTTGAGAACATTGATAGTTTTGACGGTGCTACTATGAGAAGAGGGTTAATGTGGTAATTTGAAAATATTAGAAATATCTTCTTATTAAATATAAATCATAACGTTGGTTAAGCAAAATATATTTAAAGGTTAAATGACCATTTTATTATTTAAAAACCAGATCACGCTGTAGATTCTCTAACATGATTTGCATCCCATTCCTTCTAAAACTATAGATTTTTTTTCTTACAAGATTATGCATCATCTATCTAACAAGAAGGAAGCCTACACATGAATTGACTCAAAAGAGAAAGCAAGAATGGTTGAGAATGGCACAATATGAAAAATAAGGTAAAATGACAAAAAGAGAAGTTATTTGTTAGACCATAGTGTCCACTAGGAGACTAGTTTTCAAGATTATTTAAAATATCAAAAGATCAAGAAAAATCATTCAACATACAAAGAACACTCCCCCCAAATCTTAAGCAAAAAAATTATTTAAGCAATGAAATTAACATCACATCATGTGATCAAAATATGACTCATCAAAAGCTTTTTTTATATCTCTACATTAAATAATTTATGCCGCAAATTGTGTGCCAAGCTTATAAGTGTATTCATTATTCTTATTGTTGGGTATCTAGTGGGCAAGTAAGTATAGAATGATGAATTGGTTTTTTAAGGTATTTTATCTTTTCAAAGTTTTTTTAATTTTTTTATATGACTTTCAATTAAAGTGGGTCAACAAAATTTATGATTTTGGTTGAAACATAATACTATGGGTCAACATAGTTGTTTCACACAAAATTTATGTTGGTGAACATATTAGGTTCTTAATAGACTAGGATTCCATGATCTATTGTGCTTCAACTTTTCCTTAGCCAAGTCTACTATCTAAAGATTTCTGCCCTTTGGTCAACTATTCTTCCTTAGAGAATCACAACTTAACTTTACTAGTTCAGCAATCTCTTTTTACTCAATAGTGTTTATAAAATTATCACCCCATGCTAGACAATGTATTGCTTGTATATATACCCACATTAAACTTTCATTTAATTTAGTACAATTTTGTATGAGGTAGCATTGGCATGACAATTTTTAAAAATAAGGATGATACTCACATAATAATCGTTCAAATTGATACTAATGATATTATTATTAGATCAATAGATGAATTTTAGAAAATGATGAAGAATGAATTTGAGATAAGCATGATGGATGAGTAATACTTCTTTCTAGGGTTACAAGTTAAATAGCTTAAGGATGACATATTTATTCAAACATCACATAGATAGAATTAATATTGAAATACAATTTTTACTATGCTAAGAAATTTGATGATAGTGTTTTTAAGCATTACCTATAGAAAGGATCAATTTCGTAAGGAGAGAAATTAAAATTTGCAATGCTGATGATGTATGACTCATTCACAAAATTCAAAATTTTGTTGTTATGCTTTGATTGTTTATGAATATAAATGATGAATTTTTAATATCTATGCTATGTTTCGTGAATAAAAAACATGTAAAAGAGATAGAAAGAATGGTAGTGAATTTTGAGTGATGATTATATTTTTGACATTGTCTAGCTAAGAAGAGTTTAGTACATTTGACTCTACAACTGAATATTCTAAGTAGAAATTTTTTAAATGATAATTTTTCAAGATGATATTGATTCTAATGGATATCTACAGGATACATGATTGCTTCATTTTTCTAAGGACTGATTCATATTAATATACATTTCACCTTTCTCTAGTAACACCCATTTTTCATACTAAGGGAGAGCAAGTCTACCAAATAAGGGATGAAGTGTTGGAAAACATATTGGAAGATACCATTGTATAAGAATTCACAAAAATAATTAGACAAGACGCCTAAAACAAAAGAAAAAAAGTAAAAGGCCTAAAGAAAAATGTTAATCTTAGAATTTGTTGTCACATGACAAGAGTCATCCATCCACTTTGAATCCTTTGAAACCAGCTCTAAATTATGCTTTTTCTTGAGAATCATTATCCATCTACTTTAGACACATTCGAATCCTTAAGAACAAAATAAAAAATTACCTTCTCACTATTAGTGAAATTCTTCATGAAATGTGTCTGAAATTATGTCTCCTAAAACATTACTTGTGAAGGACCAATCTTTGACATTCACTCTCACTCTATGGTAGTCAATGTATGAGCCTATATCTCACTTTCCTTGTTGCTCATAAAATTCGGGAGAAACTAGCTGAAATAAAATAATTAAAGAAGCTTATAAATGTGAGTTGACTTGAGGGAGAGTCACATGAGATAATCAAGACTAAAATCATATGGGGAAATTAGTACCAAAGGAAATTTTACATAAATCCCTTTTTGCATATTGTTGATTTTCATATTATTAAATTATTTTTTTGAAAGTTGTTTCATCATTAGAAAGTGGAAGATTAATGGTTTATATGCTATAAGTATTATAATGTCAATCACAACATATGGAGCTGCTTTATTTGTTTGTTGAAGTAAAAAATTCATTTTTTTAAGTATTGATTTGAAAACTATAATCATATAAAAATTATAAGTATCTATAGTTAATTTTAGGACAATCATTTGGGCTTCTAGATTTGAATATTTTCATATTGAATAATACTGTATAATGTTTTCTTAATTTGTCTGGATTTTTCTCGGTTTAAAAGAAGTGTAACTGATGTAATTATTGGGCCTGAATTTTAGCTGAAGTTAATGTCTTTATTGGGACTGAATTTAAGTTTAAACTGATTTGATTATTGGAGCTAAATTTAGGGTGAATTTATTTCATTATTGGGCCTTATATTTGAGGCGTATTGGATTCAAAGTTTAACTGGTCTCATTAAAACCATTACCGAACACCAAACCTGTTTTTGCGTCCCATAAAGATCCGAAAATAAAGCACCCGTTAATAATAATAAATAACTCTCTTATTTATTATTATTAAATTCTCTCTCATTAAATGCTCTATCTTATTATTTAATGTTAAATTCTGTCTCCCTCTCTCTGTCTCTCTTAAAACCAGTGAAGAATCAAATGGGAGTGAAATGGACAGTGTTTGACTTTGCAACTTCGATTAGTCTATGTCCAGTGACAACCATCGTGGTTACCGTTCAGGCAATTGTTGTCGCTCACACTGAAACTAAAACTTGTACAAAATCGGGGATGTTTTATGCTACAATTTAATGCCTTTGTGTTTATCCAGGATTATTAGTTGTTTATTTCTTAAATAGGGTATTTTTGACGTACCTTGTCATGACTTGATTATAAAATTTCTGACTTCATATTATAATGTTCTTGAATAATCTCTACGAGGGAAGTAAAACGAAAGCTTGGATGGTTAGTCAGAGAAGCTTATCGTTTAACTAGAGAACGAAAAGGACCTTCACATGTTTTTCTTTGATTATGTGGACTGTATGATAGATTGCTTTCAGATCTCACTTGGTCTATTTCAATATGTTAAGTAGATATTCTTCAATATTTGTTTGCATCGTTTACGTTTTTATTTTGGCATAGATGTAGATATCCTTCCGCATGCCACTTGGATTGATGAAACCATTGGATGTCTAGGCTAAATTCTATGGTTGGCTTGACGAACTTAATGGAAGTAACTATGATCACTAAACAGATCGGAGGGAAATCTATATCCAGGCAAGTGACTATAATAACACTTTGCGTGTGTGCGTGTTTTGAAATCGACAAGAATGCTTGGACGGGACTCCCCAGGGTAGCCCTCAGAATCGAAGGAGAAAGACTGATTTCCTGTAGCAAAGATACCAGAGCTTTGGATGTTGAGTATCACCTGGTGATTTCGTGAGGACAGAAAGCACGTTTATTCAGCGCTAGAAGGCTGCCGGGCTCCTTTACTTCATAGGATTTACTTATGGTAGTGATCTGTTAGTACACGATCAGAGCACTTGCTGGAAGCCAGTTCAGTAAGCAGCTCACGGCTGTCATGGTATGAATACGCTTCCATATGGGTTGGGGGCGTAGCAACGGCGGAGGTCCCAAGTGACGGGGACGTAGAGGCCTCGGCAGTTCAACCCGAGGTAGAACCGGGCAGCCTGCCCCCCCGGGTAGTCGAAATAGTAGCTTGTGTTGTGGATGTTGTGGCACACATTACATACCGACAAAATTATGCCTTTCCTGCAGCCCGACACTGGTAAAGCGTTAATCTGCTGGCTGACATCGGGGCAAAGGCGTCGGCTGCGATAAGAACCAGGAGAACGGCAGGTGCCGGGGCGACCGGGGTCTTGCAGCCGGTGGCCATATCCTTCACGGGGGGGATTGCTTGTCGAGCGGTGATGAGCTGCTGTCCCCTCCAGCGCCGATCTATGCTATTTACAGTAAGTTGTAGGATGAGCGGCGAAGAACTTCTCGCGTCGTCACAAGTATCAGCCATTATGAGGAAGTCAAACTCTAGGCATACGCCAATGGCAGGGCGCTCGTTA